AAAAAAACATTTTCTGGTGGAAAAATCGGTTAAAACATTGCATCCCAATTTCCAGACATCCTGTCTAACTAATTTCAGATGAGAAAACAATTGAAAAAACTAAGAAAACTGATTGGGAGCCTCGATGGGAATGTTGAACGCACTTCGAGAGTTTCGACCGAAGGCAAAACACCAGGTGAAAGAAAAAATGAACCGTTCTTCAACATAAAAAAATCGAAACGACGCAGCCGAGTGCTGAAAGCCAAACTAACGAAAATAAAGAACATGGAAATTGCTGAACGCTTGTCGCTGAAAAACGGGCAAATTTTCTCGAACCAGCTGAAGGAAAACGTGTGCAATAGTGCGGAATTTGCTCCTGATATAAATTCGCTAACGAGCCGAATTAAGCTGTTTAATGTGAGAAAAGAGGAAACTTTGGCGGTGAAAGAATCTGATGAAACACCAGAATCACTGTCATTCTTCTCAAAGAACGATCGCAAATTTTACCAAATAGAACTAGAAAATGACAACTCTTTATCAATGTTCGACGTTCATGTAGCCAAAGAAGTGGAGGAAAATGGGCAAATGGTGAGCAGCGCGATTTACCCGAGCAAATTACAATCTTCACGATTTTCTTAATAGATCGACATGTTAATGACCGACGACCTCGAATGTCCAACTAGCTCCTACAGCAACGAAGAGCAACAAAACCCCATATCAACCTCATTGAAGCAGTTTCTGCAAACTCAGCACGATATGCAGGAAAAAGAGGAAACCTGCTTCATCCCCACATTTCCAGAGTGGAAGTCAAAGATCTACAAGCTCCCATTCAATGACTGGTCTAGCTTTGGGGATAGCATGAGAGTCGACAAAAAGAAGCTCAAAGTACTAATCAAGTGTGGGTTTACCCAAACAAATCTGCAGTTTCTCGTGTTTGTTTTAGGCCGCAGTTCAGTACATGAAGAACATATCAGTTAATTACGACAATACCGCAAACGCTATAGCTTTGGATGCAGCTCTGCAGGTTGTAGATGAATATTTCAAAGAATTACTGGAAATTATCTTAGCCAGAACCAAGGCAGGATTGGACTTGAGCAAAATTGGTAAAGGTGGCAAACACCCGAAATTTGTGGCCTTCAACCATTCATTGTAGGGAAAAAATCCAACTATCTAGAAAAACACGCGATTTCCGAGCTTCAAGCCAATTTCCACCATTTGATCAGCTCCATCTTCTCCCTAGCGCATTCCAACCTTTCAGAAGCCCTTAGAAATATTTATCAACTGGAATCCACCTTAATTCATCATTCAATCAATGGGAAAACTCTTCTTTCGGACGTATGTGCGTTGGAGCAAGTGAAAATCCAATACACCACATTCTCATCTGAAGCTGAATCTTCATTTCTCATCTACGTGGAGAATGTGCTTAATGGATTCGAAGATTTACGAGAAGATATTAAAATTACTGTAGTGGACGGAGTGGCCACTGTTCTCGAAAGTGCTTCACCCAATTTATACGCCAAAGAAATGAGTGGCTTAAGGCAGGCCCAGCAGTCACTGACTATTCGTTTTTTTCGTTTATTTCATGTGTGATTTACAGCCCGCGCAGGCCGAAAAATAGGAGAAAGGAGCTGCAGGCAAATGCCAAAACGATGGAAGGCGCCTATCATCTGATGAATTCATTCGAGGAGTTGATTCAGGAAGAGGATGAACTAGTGAAGAGTAAAGTGGAAGCAAAAATTTCGGAGCGGGTTACGAAAATATTGACAAAACAGGCGGAAAGTGAGCAACTAAAAGAGCTGGAAGGGAGCCGGTGGATAGAAAAAATTCAACAGTTGCACATTATGAAGCAGAATCAGCTACTGCTAGGTATTTTTCCCCATTTGAGTTTTTCTATGCAGTCTAACCCAAACTAACTCCAATTTTCTTCTTCGTTCAACAAAGGTTGATTGGCGTTTTTCAATGAAGAGATATAGCATAAAGTAGCCGACTTCAAACGCCAGCTTTTTTGTGTTGCCTTTTTCCTTAATTTTTGAGAAAACAAACAAAAATAAGCTGTTTTTTGCCTATTCACATTTGAAAACACAATATGGGGCCGCATTTATTGAATCAAAACCTGCGCGAGCAAAACACAGTAAATAAAATAATTCATCAAATGATTCAATCAAAAAACAATTTTTCCATCGTACACAATGACTAAAATCAGTCAAATTTTGCAGGAAGTGACGTGAAATTATGCAAAAACCCCGATAGAAATCACGTAATTTCCCAGGGCGGAAACTTCAATATAGTCACTTTAGGATTGGGCGCAAACAATCAGCCTTTGGCGGTGAAGAAAATCCCTAGCAAACATTGCGTCAGCAACATTTTAAAAACGGTGGTAAAACCCCTTTTGGGTAACTTCCGCGCATTTTTAACACCCAACAGAACAAACTTCCGCGTAATGTTGCAGGGCTAAGACACAAGAATATACTCCACTACTTCGTCTGTACCTTCGAGGAAAGCGACTTGATAATAGCAACTCCGCTTTGCGAATACAATATTGGACAGTATGTGCAACTGCTAAAGGACAGTCCGGAAAAGGACGTCTACGATCTGAGTCCAATGGAAATTGTGCGACAATTCCTTACAGGACTGGCGTTTTTGCACCATCAACCCGAACCGATCGTTCATGGAAACCTGAAGCCTTCGAACATTTTCGTGGATATTCATGGAGTGGTTCGCTTGGCGGAGTTCGGAATCAATAAGGTTTTAAACTTGCAGAATTGAGCATTAAACACGCATTTTTTCAAGACACTGTTCAAGCTAATCGAAGCCCCCGAGACCTCCCTAATTTGGTTTTCCCAAGAATGCTACAAAGCGTATAAAGCAACGTCGAAAATGAACTGTTCTTTAGCTTCCGATATCCAAGTGGCTGGTATATGAGAACGCGACGAATTCTCTTTGGGTTATAGCAACAGAAACTTTCAGGAATGCTGATTTATTTCATTGTATCATACGGAGTGCATCCATTTGGGCACGAAATCAGCATGATTCTCAAAAACCTGGAAAAAGCCACCTTCAGGCACCCTTCTTCCAGGGATACGCAAAATCAAATATTTGCCGATCTCGTATCTTGGATGTTGATGTATGAACCCAACGACCGGCCGCAGATGACTCAAGTTTTATCGTATTTACGCCTTCAAAGCAGTGTAAAACCCAAATAACGTTATGCAATTTCAGGCACGTATTATTTTGGAGCAACGATAGAAGGTGGCGTTTTATACTGAATTGTTCGGGCATATCGACAAACGGGGTTCCTTTGGCGGTGAGTACGAGCCATCTTCACAGTGCAATCGACGAAACGTCGACCAAAGAACAAATCAAAGGCCACTGGGTGAGCATCGCGCGGCGCAAGTTCCCAAAAATCAAGTTTCAAAGCGACGATACTGTGGTGGGTTTTTTGAAATTCATCAAGCAGTTCTACGAGACCCAGATCTTGGATGAAGAGAGTTTGAACGAGTTGAAAAATTGCGTTTTGAACTATTTCCCCGCTTTTCCATTAACTTTGTATAGAATATTGGAGGCAACTGGCCTGATCAAGGAGTATCCGTTTATTGCTTATACCGCCACAGAAAGCGTTTTGAGTTAATTAGTATTTTTTATTCCATGATCTACAGCGGAGAATTTATTGAATTTTCTGTAAATGTTGTATAATTTTCATGTTATCCGCTACCAGGGCATGTTTACAGAAATTCGATGTTTTTACTGGGTTTTATTCAGCTGCGAAATCTTAATAAACGTCATGTCAAATATAGTCTAATGATGGGGGAAAAACAAACAATTTCAGTTATTTTGTATTAATTTCCAACAGTTTATTTCAATGTCTACTTCGTTAAGTCCTAAAGCGGAAGCTACACATTAATATGCCATTGGATTGCAACTTTCACGCATACAGTTTGGTCTCTAAATCCACAATTACACCTAAGAAATCTTATGTATTATGGATAGGTTGTTAGTAGTGTTTTCACCGCACATTTTCCTTAAAACTGATTTTCCTTAGTAGAAGTCGACGTTTTAATTGAACAAATTTGAAGCAAAACACTTCAGAAAAATAGTAAAATGTGTCATTATTACCTAATAATTAATTGGAACAAAGATACAAATAACAAGTCCTCTTTGGCTGGATACAACGAACGTAAAACAACAACAACAACAAAAAACAGCAAAAGTATCTAACAATAAATCTTCTGTACTCTGCAATAGCTAACCCTTAACAAATAAAACAGCGTTTTATTAAAGTTGTACTACAGGGTGTTTGGTAATATTCGGATAAGATTTTCAAATTTTACTATAGAAGATTGCAGGGACATTTTAATGAAAATGTTGCAAGGTTTTCGAAACGCCGCAACAAAATCGAATAACCCGCACAACAGATTGGCTAATTTAGATTTGCTCCACAGTATGTATGTAATAATTAAAGCGAAGAGGAATATTTTTACCAAGGGCGGATTC